GTCCCACCGTAGAGAGGAGCTCGGACCCACCGGGTCCCACCAAGTACGTATCGGCACGCGTGCAAAGCTGGTGGTTTCGAGGGCGCGATTTTGGGTCCAGAACATGTTCATGCTTCCGGCTTCAACATAGCGTGCCTCCATAGTAGAGTAACTGTAGTTATATCCTATATTAGGCGACTTATAACTCCATTTATAATTACCCACGCACCTCCAAGTATAAACCCCAAGATCCTAAACCCTACGTAAACCCCAAAGTCCCTAATCATCCTAAACCTTCTAAACCCCACCCTAAACCCTAAACCTTCTAAACCCCACGATCCCACACCTTGTTCACTGAGTACTCCCGGCCTCGAGCTGCTGCCGAAGCTCCGCGTACCTGGGAACGGAGAGATATCTGCACACAGGGCTTTCGGGGTTGGGGTGTTAGGGTTTATATAGGGTTTCGGGGTGGGGTGTAGGGTTTGTATGGTTGACGGTTGACGAAAGTATGTTGTGAAAGAATGCTTTGTAATATAAAACTTTTTAAGAAGACATGCTATGCCAAGACGCGTTGTTGGCTGAGCATCCACTCCATCGCGGCAGATCGCGACATCATTGCCTCAGGAGGTTTGGCAGTTTGCAATAATAGTTCAAAGGTCTGGGGACTCAGCAAGTAGCCTGTCCTTGGGGAAGGGGGTGGTTAAGCACCCTCATGTGTGATTGTGCTACTCGCCTGACCTTCGTTTAAATGAAAAGAAGACTAAGCCCAAAACCTTGAAAACCTGAAACTCACCCCTCGGTCACAAACCAAAACGACTAGTGAACCCTTCAAGCATATAGAAGTGTGTACTTAGTCTTCATGGCAGTCCGGCACAACCCAATGCCTAGACCCCTCCTCAATCTTAACACCCGAAGCCCTAAACCTAAAACCGTCAAACCCTAAACGTAAACAGCAAACGTCCAAAGAACAACCGGAAACCCTATAAACCCTAAACCGTCAAGCAACAAACAAAGCCAATCCAAAAGCGCAGCGCAACATACCCGGGCACAAAAAACAAACTTTGCGACCCTTGCTGCCGAGCCACCGTCTGGCAGCAGCGCCAGCAGGCTCTCAGCCGGTTCCTTACCCCCGAATATAATGGGGGGAACCGGGGAAGAGGTTCGTATGGGGCCTTGAAATTGCAGGAATTTATACCGGGGTTTCAAGCCGGTTCGAGGGTTTCCCTAAACTCGGCTTCTTGCAAAGGTATGGCATCGACCAGACCGACCGGTAGTGATTATTGTTGAAGCCCCAAACCTTTCGGCTTTAAGCCACCTGGTTTAGGGTTTGGGGGGGTACACAATCGGGTTCTGGGGTGTGCTGTACCTGTTTTGTATTATCATTACAAGGGGGCAAAGGGATCGCTTGATATAGCTATTTATAATACACCCTCTACTTGGAGGTTCAAGGGTAGTTCTAAGTAATTAGGGTTATAAGTCCCTTTAATATGGGTTATAACTATAGCTACCTTACTCATAACCCCACCTATAACTACCCATGAACCTCCAAGCAGACCCTAATGGAATCCCTAAACCCCCTAAACCCTCCAAACCCCCTAAACCCCCTAGACCCCCTAAACCCTCTGAACCCCCTGAACCCTCTAGACCCCCTAAACCCTCTAGACCCCCTAAATCCTAAACCCCCTAAACCCTCTCGACCCCCTAAACCCTCTAGACCCCCTAAATCCTAAACCCCCTAAACCCTCTAGACCCCCTAAACCCCCTAAACCCTTGAACCCCCTACTAAACCCCCTAAGCCGAACCCCCTAAACCCCCTAAACCCCCCTAGACCCCCTGAACCCCCTGAACCCCTGCCCTCGCAGCACCCAAGGCGCCGGATCCGAGCTACGGTCCAGGAGGTGGCTATTCTCCGTCAGCAGATCGGAGGACCTGACGGTTTAGGGCTTATAGGGCTTATAGGGTTTATAGGGCTTATAGGGTTTAGGGTTTAGGGTTTAGACTTCGAGGGCTTCCTCTCGGGCTTACCGATTTTTGCTTTAGGACTTTGAAAAAAGTGCTGGATTCTAGGGATCCCATAGGGTTTAGAGTCTAGAGTGGGTTTGGGTTTAGTTTGGTGTGAGGGGTTTCTCTGCGGGTGTTGTAAGGGATTTGCAGAGGCTGAACTAGTTTCAAGTGTTTTGGGGTCAGCGTTTACTTGGAGGTTCATGGGTAATTATAAGTAGGGTCACAAGTCCCCTAATATGGGTTATAACTTATAACTATAGTTACCCTCCTCGTAGCCCAGCTTATAACTACCCATGAACCTCCCAAGCATGGATGTTTATGGTTTGGGGGGCTGCAGGTGTCGGGGTGAGGGGGCTTCGGCTTTCACACTCGGACAATCCAGGCCAGATGGGGGTTTCCGAAAATAGGGGGTACCTTATTTTGGGGTCCTTATAATAGGGATCCTACTATTTGGGGTACTATATTAGGGTCGCCTATTTTTGGGAAACCCCCAGATAGGTTTGCGATGGTCTGTAGGACCGGGTGACAAGTGTCCCAAAGAGAGTGTTCCATGCAGCGGGGTTCAAGGCTTTCGGAAACCGGCCAGCTTGGAACGACTGTTCAAGTGTTAATTCCGAGTTGCAGACTTTCGGGACCAATGGCACAACCCTCACATCCATGGACCCCTTAAGAAACTTTTATACGCTCTTACAACTCGGACAGGCCAGGCGAGGTTCCATAGGTTTAAGTCGGAACGATACAGGTACATGAGTCACTGACCACTGCCCTACCGGAGGTAAACAAGTCCAACTAAACACAGGCATTCGCTCCCCGCGGCGATATGCAGCAGGATTCCGAAGTCAGTGGTCAGGGCGCCAGGGTCGGCTAGAGTTCTTCGTCGCAGGCCTCTTTCGACTCCTCCCTAGCTCAACATCACAACTCTCCACAAGAACACGAAGAAACCAGTGACAACTCCACAAGAGGCATGCCAGCGTCTACTACTTTGGTTTGCCAAGTGCCAAGGTTCTCCCAGAAGGTCCTTATGGGTAGTTCTCTAAATTAGGGTCCCTTTTTGGGTCCCCAGTATAGTACGGCACCCTTATAAAAAAGGGACCTAAAAGGGACCCTAATTTTGAAAACTACCCTTATTGGAACCCGTATGAAGCCCTCTAGCCCTCTTGAAGCTGTCGGGTTTGACGTGCCGAAGCACTGGCTGTCGCTGCGGGCTGTCTCTGTGATGGTGTCATGGCTCTTTGCCTCGCCTCCTTAGGAGATCGGATGCTTCGGTGGGCCTTCTTCCGTCCTAGATGTTCGAGCTTTCGGGTTTCGAAGCCTTTGGTTTCAGTTTCTGGTGGGTTTACCTTTCGACGCTCCAGCTTTAGAGAATCCAGTGTGGTGAGATTGCTGGCGCAGGGTTTGAGGGGATACCAAACTTCGCAGCTCTGTTTGCTCTTGAATGTACATTACCTTTGCTATCGCCTTCTGGCGTGCCACTAGTATGCTCGTCGCATCGACAGAAAAAACAAAAGGAGTAGCACTCGCAGCCAAAGCAAGTTACCAAGAAACAACCCTAAACCCTTTTTTCAGCACGGACTGAGGTGCCGGCCAGCGCCCATGCAACCCTCACCCCTAAACCCTTAAAAACCCTAAACCCCTTTTTGCAACAGGCCTTGTTGTCCAGCAGCCCGCTCTGGCCAAACACACTCTCCACTAACCTACAGCCAGGAGAGCCTAAACCCTAAACCCTAAACCCTAAACCCTAAACCCTGAACCCTGAACCCTAAACCCTAAACCCTAAACCCTAAACCCTAAACCCTAAACCCTAAACCCCAAACAATCGCGCCGGGACGGCCTGAGCCTACGTGGCCATTTTTGCTCCACGCAAACCTTTCGAAATCCTTTAAACAACAGGGCAAGTACCCATATGGGTGGTTGTCAAAATTAGGGTCCCTTTTTGGGTCCTTATTATAATACGGCACCTATTATCCATATAAATGCCCATGGAGGACCCTTTCTTCAGGACTGCCTCCCAACACAACCTGAAATTGAGTTCCTCAACGTTGACAAGAAGCCGTGGTTGAAGCATACCGGCTTCGTTTACGCCTTTCTGTCTCTCGTGCACGTTCGGATCCCTCAATACGCATATGCAAGCTATCCCGAAAACGAACAGCAAGTGCGAGTCTGCGTAAGCCCTGGCAACCCTAAACCGTTTCCGTGCCGCAGGTAACATCAGGTAACTCAGCACTGGACTCGACGATGCCAAGGATGGAAAGAGCCTTCAGCACATCGGCTTCTATAGGCGTTCATACAGTCTAACACGGATTTGATGAGCGTTCCATTGCAGCCCTCTTCATCTTTTGGTTTGTCGTCCTACCTTGTGTTTATCACAATAAAAAGTGCCCCAGGAGGTCAGGGTTCTGGGTACATCCCCGGAGAATCGGGTGCTCTTGCAAGGCCATCTCCGGGCTCTTGAAGAGCTCTTCTGACAAGGCTACGGCTTAAGAGCTGGGTGTAGGAGGTTGGCTTGAGGGTTGAAGGTTGAATTTCGGCACTGGCATCTGGCAAACCCAAAGGGTCCAAAGTACCTATATGGTAGAATGTAGGGTTTCTATATTAGGAATTGTTATTATGATTTGGGAAAGTATCCCCCATAACAGTACCTAGGACCCTGTGGCAAACAGAAGACCTGAAGCCTCAAACGAGCTCAGACGACCAGGAGGGAGTTTCTGCCACAACTCTCTGGACTGCCGGGATTTAGGGCTTGAGGTTTACTCAGGGGATTTAAGGTTTAAGGTTTAGTTGGTGTAATGCTACTGGTTCAGGGGATTTAGGGCTTAGGAGGGTTCAGGGGACCATAGATTTTGTGCACAAGGATTCAGGCATTAAGGGGGTTTAGCCCCTCCATTTTGCCCTCCAAGCATGATTGACTAGTTAGTTACCTACCTCTGCAGGACGGGAGCATGAACGAGTTTCCCAAAGCGTCGACGAGTTGCTAGGACTTTGTTGGGCCCGTCACCACCCCTGCTCGGACTGCTGCGTGATGGGACCCTGACCTTAAGAACCCAAAACCTACTTTTTTGTAGGGTCCCTATAAACCCCATATTAGGGTTTATAATGAGAACCTACAAAAAAGTGGGCTTTGGGGTTCTTAAGGGAGAGACCAAACCGACGCCCGAGACCCGGCCTGAGGAGGAATCCGCTGGGCCACAGATTCGTCCTCAGATGCTCAGAAGGTTCGGGGTTTAGGGTTTAGGGTTTCGAAAGGTTCGGGGTTTCGGGCTTTCAACCTTGAGTTCCTACGAGGGCGGCTGACAAGATTAGGGAAACAGTTTGGGAGTATACCTGAGGTCTATCACGACTATCAAAGCTTGCGGCTGAACGACCAGAGTCAACAGGTCACTACTGTAGATTCACATAGCCTCATCTGAGAAGAAACGGCCCCTGCTCAGGACCTGCCTCCTAATACGCGTAGATGCCTCGAAGACGTAACGATGTGTGTGTGTGTGTGTGTGTGAATTTAGGGTTTAGGGTTTAGGCTATTAGGGTGTAGGGTATTAGGGTATTAGAGTTTCGAGATTTAGGCTATTGGAGTTTAGGGTATTAAGGTTTTTAGGGTTTAGTGTACTAGGGTTTCGAAACCAGACATCCTACCTCCCAAGCAGATCCGAAGAAGGCGCAACCAGTCGGTCAAGCTGTGCTGGGCATCTCGGGTCCAAGTGGAAGAACGTTCACCCACAGGGTCCCAGGTACTGTTATGGGGGATAATTTCCAAAATCATAATAACAATTCCTAATATAGAAACCCTACATTCTACCATATAGGTACTTTGGACCCTTTGGGTCATTGAAAACCTCAGGTTCTACCCTAAACCCCAGAAAGCAGGAACATGGGTTTCGGATGATTGGTCCTTGGATCCTTGATACTTTACTTTACTGGCATGAGGACACGAATGTTTAAACTTTATGGCTTTTACTATAAATCCTGAACCCTATGCCCCGAACTGCCCTCTCTGTTGCAAACGAGGCAAATTACTTGGGGGTACTGGAGTCGTGGGTGTCTATAGTATGCCACCCCACTCCCCCTACAACGGTATTATCCAATGAAGCTATATAGTCAGCCCTTATGGTAATCCGTCATGAGATCCCCTGAACACTACTCTAAGAATTAAGGCACCTAAACCCTCAACCCTAAACCCCTAAACCCTAAACCCCGAAACCCTAAACCCTATAGCAAACTCCGACGGAGCATGGGTTCTCCAGGGCAAGAAGCAAGGCGCCAAGGGTGACCACCGCAAGGAAGGTGATCCAGTACCTGTGGTCTACTTAAAGGACAACGGTTTGGGGTTTAGGGTTTAGGGTTAGGGATAATGTAGGGGCCTTAAAGATTAGAATAGGGTTTTGGGGTTTTTAATACTATAATTCTAACAAGGAAGCCCCAAGCTAGTATAGGTAGTTATTGAGGCCCCATGAGGCCCCTATATTAGCCTCATTTAGCGTACTTATTACAAGGCTGTAGGTTCAGGTTTGAACCGTTCGAGCACATGCCGAAGTAAACCCGCAATGTTACACTCCGACCCACCAGCACTAAGTCATAACTTAGGGTCATACCCTACCCCGTTTTGAGGGTACCAAGTCTTATGCTTATGATCTGCTATATAGAAAGGTCGGTACCCTAAGAAAGGGCTAGGGTACGACCCTATAGGTAGAGGCGTCAAGAAAACAATCCTCTGCGGAACTCCGGCAACAAGCGCTTTGCTGAATTTACGTTCAGGCTATTTAAGCCTACTTTGGACATTGTTCCTTAATGGGTGGTATTGTCGGGGCTGTGCAAGCCCTGCAACAAACCCGAACTCCACCTTAAATTGTGTTTGCTCTTACTGAAGTAACCCTAAACCCCTAAACCCTAAACCCTAAACCCTTAAACCGTGTGCAGGGCGACCGACGGTACTGTGCAAACCCAGCAGGGGCGGCTACGTAGCAACGTGCAGGTAGACCTCCAGCCCCTGGGGTTTACCCATGGGGCCCATAGTAGATAGGGTTTAGGGTTTAGGGTTTAGGGTTTAGGGTTTAGGGATCCTTTTTGGGATTCCCTAATAGGATCCTACATAAAGGCCACAGAAAGGAAATACTATGGGGCCAGTGGGTAGGCCTGTGCTCGGCTACATGCAGAACCGAATACCCCGCCAAATTCAATCTTCCTCAACTTGCCAAGCCTGCGCCGCGGGTTCGGACCACGGAACCGAGAGCATCACACAACACCAAAAGATCCCCCAAAGGGCTACCTCCACAAAGCTCAGGAATAGCTCGAACCTCCTTAACCCGAAACCCTGAACCCCCCAAAACATCAAGATGGAACGACACCTTAAGCCTTAAACAAGACTGCCCAAAAAGGCACTTTAAGCCAACCAAGATGCCAGCGTTTGCTCGGAGGCGAAGGGTCCACAGCAGTTTGGTCCAATCCCTGCATCATAAACTGGTGTCTATAGGGCTTGCGAGGTAAGGGGGGTGGTCTTATAGAGTCTTTATGGGGCTTCTACACCAGATTGTTCCGGGGATACTGTATGGTTTTATGAATGTTGTTTGGGGATGTGGGTTTTTAAGGTCTTTTTGGGTTAGAAACGGCTCTATCGGATTTCTCTAGGGTTTCATGCGGGCGTAATGCTGAATGATAGGCCTTATCATATGTACGGGTATTAAAGGATTGTGATTTAGGCTGTTTGACTTTCATAGGGCTTTACTATACGAATTAGTACGCTTCATCGGCTTGAAAATTAATTACATCGTGATACAAACGTATATCCTATGAATTATTGAGGAACCTATATATTCATAGGAACAGCATGAACCATCATTCCGATGCCTTATTGTGATACCCCATCGACAGATTCCGTTTCGTGGCTTGTTCTCTCCATCGGAGTTCCCTAAACCCTAAATCCTAAACCGTGTTTTCATTTTCTGCTTCAAAAAACCCCAAAGCCTAGATGCCCCCAGGCCTCGGCCGTGGAATCTGGCGGCTCTGCGCCGAGCCGCTGCAGACGGCTATCCTTCCTCAGCTCTAAACCCTAAACCCTAAACCCTGAACCCCAAACCCGAAAACCTAAACCCTAAACCCTAAACCCTGAACCCCAAACCCCAAACCCGAAAACCTAAACCCTAAACCCTAAACCCTGAACCCCAAACCCGAAACCCTAAACCTGGGAACTTTGAGGTTTTGAGGGACTCGCCCTCTCGCTCGAGGGTTTCGGCTCTCACACTCGGACAATGCAGGCGAGGCTTGTGGTCTTGAGTCAGCAGGGTGAAACGTTTAGGGTTTAGGGTTGTCTTAAAGGAAGCTTAGAGAAACACATCGAGCAAAAATGAGACTCTGTTAGAGGGAGGCTCCCAGTCTTCCATGCCCAACTTCCTACCTATACGACGGGTTTAGCGTTTAGGGCCATCCACTACATACAAAAGCGTTCAGGGTTTAGGGGCTAAGCCAACATCCGAAACACCTTTATTCCCAAACCCCCTTTTTCACAAAGGACTCGAAAGCTGCCCTAACCTTTAAGCCAAAACCCGAGAGGCATGAGACGAGCATCGAGGTGCCGCACTATAGTGCTAATGTGGACCCCTCACTGGTCAAGTTTCTCGCCTTCTTAGGGATTACCATATCGATCACAATAGCGAGGCCAAAAAAACGGCATTCTTCTTAATCCCAAACCCCGTCCTGTAAATCGTTCAGAAACCCTGCTTCTGGAACCTTTAGCGCTATACCTTAAGAGCCCAAAACCTACTTATGTGTAGGGTCCCTATAAATCCCATATTAGGGTTTATAATAAGAACCTACAAAAAAGTGGGTTTGGGGTTCTTAAGGTAACCCCGCCCATGAACCCTACACTGCCCTACACTTGGTTGCACAGCTCACAACACATGGAAAACATTCGTTCTGGTTCGTATATGGGGCTCTTTCATGGCTTGAGGCATCTGAAGTTGACCTACCCAGCCATTGTGTCAAAAAGCAAGTTTATAGCTGAGAGTTTAGGGTGTCTTGGGGTACTAAGCGCAGAAGCCACAAAACCTTAATACAGCACGGTGAGACCTCATTGCAGCTAGCACTCTGGAGGATGCTGGCAGCCTCCACAGGGGCTCAGAGAAGCATGGGTTTCGACTCGCACACTCGCAGGGGTTAGGGTCCAGGGTGTAGGGTGTTGATAAGGGGTGGACGGTCTCTCTACTTAGAGGTTCATGGGTGGTTCTAAGTGGGGTTATAAGTAGGGTACCTATAGTTATGACCCATATTAGTGGACTTACAGCCCCACTTATAACTACCGCTCACCATCCCAGTCTTCGAGCAAGGCATGTTCGATTGAGGTCTAGGGTTCAGGGTTTATAGGGTTTAGGATGGCTTAGGGTTTTTGGATGAGGTAACACTCGCGAGCACTGGACCCCCAAATCCACAAAGAATGAATGTACCTGGGCTTCCTTCTCGGCAGAGCTTCGAAGCCGCATGGTAAGATCCAGAAAACGCATGGCGAAGACTGTATAAAGTTCAGAAGAATGGGATCCTTGGGGTTTCACCTAAGCTGCTATCACTCAGGTAAGGAAGGCAGTTCAAGATGCATTTTCATGCCCAAGCGATCCTCATGCGCTCTTGTGATCATGACTAAGCTCTAGAGCTTTAGACTTGCGTTTCTAATCGAAAAACCCTAAAATCCTAAGCCCCATGCACCCAAGCCCTAAGCCCTACTCAAAACCTAAACTGTGAACTCTTGAGAATTTTACGGCTTTGAGACTTTGGGAGTTGGTGTCGTTTGCTCGGGCAGGCTCTAGAACTGCAGAGAGAGATGCTAGTCAGCGCCCGCAGCCCCCAAATCCATGCAACACAACATAGGAAGCAAGCCAAAACGAAACCCAAAGCCCAAAGGCCTTAAACCCCAAATCCAACCCTAAACCCTAAACCCTAAACCCTAAACCCCAACCCCAAATCCAACTATGCTCGCGGCCGAAGGCCTGGCGAAAAGCTTCGCGCTTCCTTGGGAATCCATACAATAAAGATCCTGCGATGGTCCCTAGACCCGAAACCTTAAACCTCAAAAATTTTAAAAACCCCAAACCTGAAGCCCTAAATCCTAAAACCCTCTTTTTTCTGGATCAGCCCTGAGGTCTCCACCGTAAATGTGCACGCTCTACACCCCAACCATTAGACGCCATACCCTGGCACTCTATAAACCTTCCGCCGCAAGGGTCGACTACTATAAAGGAGCCCGAGAAAGCATCTAAACATAAAGCCAATTAGGGGCAATATCCCTACAAGATCCTACAAGGGGGATTGGGTTTAGGGTTTAGGGGGATTGGCTTCAAGAGTTGCTTGTGAAGGCTCCCCAGACTACGGGTTGTCGCCTGCGCTTCAGCAGCGGCGCGGCAAAACTCATCGTGGCAGAGGTGGCTGTGGCCCAAGGATGGAAGGAGAAGGGCGCTCAGAAGCGCATACCTTGCGGCCCTTGACCCTAAACCCTCATTCAACTCCACTTTCGAAACATCAGAACCTTTCGAGATCGAGTTCGCTTATGGCTCAAACCTCATATGGGGAGTCTAGAATAGAAGAGGGCATCACACTTCTTAGGGGTCAGGTGGTGCTTGACGGTTGCCGGGTTTGGTACCTGCGCCATTCGGACTTCCTTTCTCCTGCAAGACGACTCAGATCGAGCTTTAGGGTTGATAAATTGATAAAAGCTTGTAATGTAGGGGCCTTAAGACTTAGAATAGGGTTTTGGGGCCCATGATACTATTATTATACTAAGGAACCAGCTTTATGTAGGGGCCTTAATACTTAGAATGGGGTTTTGGGGCCCATTCTACTATTATTATTATACTAAGGAACCCCCCAAAATAGTATTGATGATTATTTAGGCTCCTCTATTTCAAGGGTTAGCACCAAGTTCCCCGCCCTTTCCTGTGGTCTCCCCTGTTCCCGTTCCATCGCTAGGGTTTCGATTTCGGGTGTACTTGGCCGCACTGGTCCAAAACCGCGAAAAGCAGGCAAATTGCCGGATCTGAAGCAACTTCGTGCGGAGCCTCTCTGAACACACTTAGAGTAGGGTTTGGGTGTATATTATACTGCAATAACATTGAGGAACCCACCCTATCAGGACTAGTATTGGTAATTGCTCCGGCCCGTATAGTAGGGTCTACCTCTACGGTCGAGGCTTGAAGTGCTGTGTTGTAAGATTAGCTCTCAAACATGGCATTGCAAGATATAAGAGCTTCCTCTTCAAAAGCATCACAAAGAAGCACGGAGCCGATCTTGGGCCCAAAATTGGAAAGCCTTCTGGTTTTCTCGGGCGCTTAGAGTTGAAGCATGGGTTTATGTTTTCTGCTGCGCTTTTTGGATTTTGGGTTTCTCGCATTGCGAGGGCAAGGGCGAGGAATATATAGCGACCTTAAGAATTGGACTTGAGCCTCGGGGTATAGGGTTTAGGGTTCAGGAAATAGTAGAGCATATACTACACATTATCCATTATGACGAACCCCAGGAAGAAATAAAAATGGTGATGATTCAGACCCCTGTCTGAGCTTATGGAACCCCTGAGGTTTCTTTGCTCCAAGAGGCAGAGGTGCCATTGCAGGCGGAAACGGTATCAAACGGGTAAGGGAAGATTAACCGAGGCCTTTCGGATCGGCCTTTTGTTGAGCAAGGCGGCGGCGAACAGCTCTGACACCCGACTCAGCACTCGCCTTAATTTTGGGGGCCTTCATAATTTCAATAGTGCTTTGGGGTATATTATGCTATAAATATAATAAGGAACCCCCCCAAATACGATTGGTAATTATTTTGGCTTCTATGTTAGGGTTTAGGGTGTTGGGGTTTAGGGTTGGCTCCTACTCCTGCTGCTCCTCCTGCACCTGCTACTGAGACTACGACGACGACAACGATGGAAGGTACGAACCCTGTAACGACTGAGCCACTTAAACTTACAATCACGATGACTGCAAACAGTTACGGCTGTGTTTCCAGGGAGGGTCATTCTGGCAAGGTGCCAGACTTTGCTCGTATGCCACCAATATGGGGTCTTGAGACAGCCAGCACCCTAAACGGCAACCTCAGCGAGACCAAGGCCCCTTCAAGGAATATTGGTTAGCATAAAAATAAGTCTTGCTTCTTACAAGGCTCCTCATTAGAAAAGCATTACGCGCACACTCACAAAAGAAGCCCCGTGTATGTGTTTGTACATATGCAAACATATGCAAACATATGCATGCATATGCATGTATGTATGTATGT